AGGCTAGGCAGTGCTGTGCGGGTAGCCGAGGCTAGGCAGTGCTGTGCGGGTAGCCGAGGCTAGGCAGTGCTGTGCGGGTAGCCGAGGCTAGGCAGTGCTGTGCGGTAGTGTGGGTAACAAGTCCTTCCAAAGGCAGAGGGAGAGCAGCGCATCCAGAACGCCATCAGAAAAGATCACTCAGAAGGGAGAAGCGTGAGCTCCATGGAACCACTGGTCAGTATCAGAATAGTAACTGCTGCCCAACCACAAGCAGATCTCACACTTTTAAGGGCTTTCTCATGGTCAATTTATTTATTCCCCCATAAAAGCCATAATGCCTGTTCTGCCTACAGATGGGGTAGTGGAGGCACATACAGGTGAGTGGTCCTTCTTAAAGGACAGATCAGGAATTGAGCCCAGGTGGGTTGGTGGTCTTTTCCTAGGCCATTTTCTCAGGACAGCCAGATATGCATGGGTGGGTGGGGTGGGGGGCACCCTTAAAGAAGAGCAACATAAAATACAAAATGAAAGTGAGCATTTTTTTTAGAGTGAGAAAATGAATCGAAATAAATTTTAAAGAGAATTGCTTAAAGAATTTGTAACCAGTAATTGCTCAACATTGTTCATTCATACAGTAAAAATAATACCGGTAATAATAATTCAGGAGCTGTACTTGCATTTTCTAACATTGCGCATGCTAAAGAGTATAATTTCTGAGAAACAGAGAATCAAAAGATCATTCTTTCATTTGTAAATCTTTTCTAAACACTTATTTTATGTGCATGGGTGTTTTGACTGTGTGTACATCTATGCTCCACGTGTGTGCCTGGTGCCCTAGGAGGCCCTGCAACTGTGGTTACAGAAGGCTGTGAGTGCAGGTGGGTCCTGGGAGCTGGACCCAGGGCCTCTGGAAGAATAGCGGTGCTCTTAGTGAGCTGATGAGGCGTCTCTTCAGCCTCCCATTCTTCCCTTTTGCATTGCCCTACACTTCCCTCGTTGCTGCTACTGTGGAATAACACCGCTTAGTTCTCCACCGTGTTAATAGCAGTTTTATGTAAATATACAGGATTGCTATAAAAGTCAGGGAAACTTCCAGCTTCTTTCCGCAGAGCTGTAAGGTGTCAGGGCTCTTAACATCTGTTGTGGTGTTGTTCTGTGGCCACCTGTGAATAATTTTGAATTAATGACACTTAAGGGTTGATGTGCTTATAATCTGGAAGAGACGGCAAACTATATACATAAATCCTGCTAAATCCAGTAAAATGTATTCCTCACTCAACTCCTTGTCTTGATGTCATCAACAAATGTGCCACTCTGGTGATACCCAAACAGGACAGAGTGTGAAGGGGGAGGGGTGAGAGACAAAAATGGTAACCTCAACAGGTGGAAGGCAGTTAGAATATTTTGTCTTTGAAAATACAATATGATCATGTGAACATGTGACCATGTGGTATGACCTTCTCCCAGGATTCAGTGAGGCCCATACAAGAGAAGTAAGTCTTCATGAGCTTTCTAGTAAACTTCCCTCTGCCCATGATGTGATTTATGTGCAGACTAGAGACTGTGGCGATACAGAATTATGACTGGGAGGAGAGGACCATCCCCCTGCCTGGCACTGAGGGGAAAAGTAGAAAGACAGGGCTGGAGAGATGGCTCAGCAGTTAAGAGCATTGCCTGCTCTTCCAAAGGTCCTGAGTTCAATTCCCGGCAACCACATGGTGGCTCACAATCATCTGTAATGAGGTCTGGTGCCCTCTCCTGGCCTGCAGGAACACACACAGCCAGAACACTGTATACATGATAAATAAAAAAAAAAAAAAGTAGAAAGACATGTCATTGGACCATATACAATATCTGGGCTTTCGGTGGTTGTGTTTGCGTCACAGCTGACTTGGATATGGTTGTTTGTCTGTGATTAAAATGAACCAGTGGTATCAACTGTAGACATTTGATTTTGTTGAGAATTTTGATTTTCTCTTTTCAGGCCACTAGCAAAAGCAAGGATACGGTGATGTCCAGGCCACATGGTATGTTGGTAGCAGTTGCCAATCACATGGAAGTCTTATCATCTGTTGTGACAGCAGGCCATTCTCAGCCCTCTGGCTCACGAAATGAGAGAGGGTTCACCTTGATAGATGGCATTTGTCCTTTCCTTACTTACACGCAAATCCATTGCATCTTTAGCCCCAGCCGTATTCATATCTTCCCAGCATTCTCTGCTCTACAGTGTCTCAGACTTCTTGGCTGTGAATTCTCATTGCGCTAATTCAAACCATGGCAGTGACAAGAATAGGTCTCATTGACAATGAAGCTTGCTATAACGTTCCAAACTAGAGGTGACGTGCATATCTCTAGGACTCCCAGGAGGTCTTTTGGGGGGTTTTGTAGGTGTGTGAGGGGAGGGTGGCTCAGGAGAGAAACCCATGGGTTCTTCCCTCTTATTTGATGGGAGGAGTTTATACTTGAGTCGGCTTTAAACACTAGAATGTGGCATGTCGTTCTGTCAGGAAGAACAGGATCCTGCTTCACAGCTATGGAATGACTGCTAATCCATTTCTGATCATCAGTCTTACTGAGAAAAGATACCCATGTATATATAATTGTTGTGCCTTTGCCACAGAGACACCTTATTGACTGGCTGGGCGGCCACGACCTCAGACCTTTCCATCTGATAGGGATGCCTTGCCTTTTATTTCCCCAGGTGTATGTGAGGGTGTCTGTAAGGACAGTGATGCCCCCTGCTTTCAATCTTGCCCTCCAAAAAGTGAGGGCAGCATGAAATTTGCCTGTAAGGCCAAGAAATGGCACAAAGTTACCGAAACCTGCCACACTCTGAATGCCATGAACATGTTTGAGGTAAGGTCGTTTTCTCCTCTATCATGGATACTCACGAGGTCTCTGAGTGAAGTGGAGCTTCAGATGGGATCATGAGGCCCACTTACGGGAAGAGACAGGCTTCCATGGTAGTAACGGGTTGTGAGTCCATGAACTCATAAACACCGATCTCTTCACTGTGTCTGAAAGTCAGTGCAGTGTATCCTGTCCCCCCGCATGACTTGAGGGAACCCGGCCATCTAGACAGAGCAAGGAGAGGCATCCAGAGCTGTCACAGTCAAACTAGAGTCAAACATCTTTGCCTTCAGTCCTCAAAATACCCCAAAGCTTTGATACCCATAGTGTACTTCGCTGACTAGTAACACCCCCTAAACTTGTTAGACCCATGAAATCTGGGCTGTCCCCCAGACTTTGCTAGATGAGAAGGTTTCCTGGACCTAGAGTTGCAGGCAGCTGCGAGCCACCTGGTGTGGGTTCTAGGGACCGAATCCCGAGTCCTCTGCATGAGCGGTACCTACTCTTAACTACTGAGCCAAGTCTTCAGCTCCTGCTAATTTAAAAAAAAAAAAAAAACACTGTCTCTTGGTTTCCCTCTTGATAATGTAAAAATAAGTTAAATGTCAATAGGAATCCATTTAAACGTACAAGGTATACATGAGATGTACATGCCCAGGAAGTGTCTGAAGTGATGCGGTAAAGGAAACAGTTGATGTTTGGGCAGACAGCGCTAGAGAGCCATTTCTTGGGGGAATTCAGACTTACATTTTTTTTTATACATCTTGGTGCTGATCAAGTTATTCCACCCTAGATGCCTCTTTGAAAATGGAAAACGAAAGCATTTTATGTGATGTGCAATTGTATAATGGGGCTTTCTTAAATTCTAGTAGAAGTACCTTTGTATTTGATATGAACAAATAAAGGATTTCTTTCCTTTGGTCCTGTTTCAGGAGGATGAGGAATTATATTCAGTTCAGTCCACTGAATCGACTATACTTCTACATGATGAGTCACGTAGAAAACCTCAGACCATAACAGATATGCTGATGGCAAAGTGTCCCAAGGATTTATCTTGCATCATCAGAAGCATTCAGAAGTCTCCCCAGATGCCAGGGAACATTGCTATGGTGGTAGATCTCTTACACAACATCTCCACAGTCCTAACCAGAGAGGTCAACGAGGAAAAGATGCGGGTGAGTGGCCTTGCAGATCAGCCAGTGTTATCTCTTTGGGGGAGGAACTTAGGTTAGTTGGAATACCCTCTGAGCTTCCCAGGGATTGGAAGCCATATTGCCCTCTCGGTATTTCTAATGTGCCACATAGCAAGTGCTTAATGAATCTTACGGGAGCAATAATAATGAAAGAATAATTCACATGCCAGGTCAAGACATATTACCAGGGAGAGCTCTTTTTTTTTTTTTTTTAAATTTTTCCCCAGGGTCTGGGCCTGTGATGGGTTGAATCTGGGAGGGGCTGAGTCCATGAGAGGTTGAGCCTTTGAAGGGTTTATTCAATGCAGGCTAGAATCTGTGAAGGCTCAAGGCTGTTTGCGGTGGATTCCATGGGTTGCCTTAGCCTTCAAAGGTCTTAGTCTCTGAGGATTTGTGCCAGAGAGGATGAGTCTGTAGTGGGCCAGAGTCTGCTTTCCTAAAGCGCACTCAAGCTACTGAAATTATTGAAGAAACACTGCGGGTCGTGCACAAAGGAAGACGTACGTTCCTTTGCGAATTAGAACAAGTTGTTAAAACAGGAAGCAGAACAAGTGGCCAAACCTTTGAACTACAGAAGTGTGAAATGAAGCTGGATTCATTTCTTCATGGTTTTGGTGCTTAAAGTGGGGAGTAGTGAGGGGATCACCAACCTCTGTGGTCACGTCCCAGTTCTCAGCATAGTCCCACGCAGGATCTTGTAACACTCTGGGACTAACAGATGTCAGCTACGTTACGGGCACTCTGAAAGGGCAACTGAATGATGGGCTTTGCCCAGGAGTGCAGCAGAAGTGGTGGTGGAAAAGAGCAGGTAGAAGCTGCTCACCTTGTCTCCCAGGAAGGCATTGAACAGAAAAGAGGAAAGCAAGACAAGGAATTCCTTTATAGATAACTAACATTCTTTAAATGCTATCCAAGGGTCTCTCTCTCTCTCTCTCTCTCTCTCTCTCTCTCTCTCTCTCTCTCTGCACATATGTGTATTCATGTGTGTGTGTACTCATGTGTACAGGTATTCTTTCGTGTAAGTCAGAGAGTGGTGTCAAATGTCTTTTTCAGTTTCTTTCCACTTTATTTTTTTGGGACAGAGTCTCTTGCTGATCTTGGAGATCATTGATTTGGATACGTTGACTGACCAAATGAGCGTCTGGGGTTTACCTGTCTCTGCTTCCCTAGTGCTGATATTACATATGTTTCACAATGTCTGTCTTTAACGCGGGTGCTGGGGATCTGAACTTGGGTCGTCATGCTTGTATGACAAGCACTTTAGTGACTGAGCTGTTTTCTGAGTTCCTGTCCAACCTTCTGACATTGTAATATGGTATTGTCATGTACAAATGTGTTGGGCTGCATTAATACCTATTATGGGATGCATGCAGTATGTGGGTTACAAGCTGCAGGTAAACGTAAGCTTTACTGTGCAAGCAAGTCACCTAGGGGTTAGTTAAGATACTGAATAGGGCGCATTGAGTTTGGGGTGGCATGTGTGGATATTTTTAAGGAGATCTCTGGGAGTGCCTATGCTGCTGGCTAGAAGACTATACTTTGTAAAAAGCAAGTCTTATATGTATTGGAAGTTTCAAAGAGTGGCTTACCACTAACACCAGTTCTTCTTTGACAGAGTTACAGCACCATGGCTAACCATATTCTTAACAGCACAAGCATATCAAATTGGACCTTCATCCAAGACAGAAACAGCAGCTGTGTCTTGCTCCAATCAATCAATTCATTTGCAAGCAAGCTCTTTGTGAAGGACCATCTCATCAACATATCACATGTCTTCATTCATACCCTGGGCACGAGCCTGTCCAGGGACAGCCGCGGGAGGAATTTCACTTTCTCAATGAGAATTAACGACTCAGGCGATGAAGTCACTGGGAGGGTCCTGCTCACAACTGAAGACCTGCAGAAGGTTCCATCTCCTTCCCATGTCATCAGCATCGCCTTCCCAACCCTTGGGGCCATCCTGGAAGCTAGTCTTCTGGAAAACATGACCGTGAATGGGCTTGTCCTGTCTGTCATTTTGCCTAAGGAGCTTAAAAATATCTCGTTGATGTTTGAAAAGATCAGCAAGGCAGAAGGGAGGAAGTCCCAGTGCGTGGGCTGGCATTCCCTGGAGAGCAGATGGGACCAGAAAGCTTGTAAGCTGATTCAAGAAAATTCCCAGCAGGCTGTTTGCAGGTGTTGGCCAAACAAGTGGTTTTCTTCCTTCTCCATTCTGATGTCACCTGACACCTTGGAGAACCCGGTTCTAATTTATATCACGTACATAGGCCTGGGCATTTCCATTTGCAGCTTGATCATCTGCCTGTTCATTGAGGCCTTAGTCTGGAGTCAAGTGACAAAGACAGAGATCTCATATTTGCGTCACCTGTGTATCGCTAACATTGCAGCCACCTTGCTGATAGCTGATGTGTGGTTCATTGTGGCTTCCTTCCTCAGTGGTCCAATATCCCACTACAAAGGATGTGTGGCTGCGACATTTTTTGTTCATTTCTTTTATCTGGCTGTGTTTTTCTGGATGCTTGCCAAGGCTCTCCTTATCCTCTATGGAATTCTGATCGTGTTCCATACCCTGCCCAAGTCATTCCTGGTGGCCTCTCTCTTTTCAGTGGGCTATGGCTGCCCTTTGGTGATTGCTGTCATCACACTTGCTGTCACGGAGCCTGGAAGAGGCTACCTTCGCCCTGAGGCCTGCTGGCTTAACTGGGACATGACCAAGGCTCTCCTAGCCTTTGTGGTTCCAGCTCTGGCCATCGTAGTAGTAAACCTGATTACAGTCACACTGGTTATCATCAAGACCCAGAGGGCTGCCATTGGCAGTTCCATGTTCCAGGAAGTAAGAGCCATCGTGAGGATCTGTAAGAACATCGCCATCCTCACGCCACTGCTGGGGCTGACCTGGGGATTTGGAATAGGCACGGTCATCAGGGGTCACTCTCTGGTCTTCCACATTATCTTCTCCTTACTCAATGCATTACAGGTAAGTCCGGATGCTGTGGGAGAATCTGAAGTGGGACGGTCTGTTAAGCTGTTTTGTGAGCAGGAGCCCGTGGCACCATGTTTCATGCAGAAGACGATGAAACAGATATATTTTGTTTCAGAAAGGCCTGGATTTGAATTCTGACCCCCTTATTTATAAAGAATATGTAGCATGATCTTTGCATGTCTAATTATTACAAGCATATTTTTCTCATACAAAAGAGACTGCCACTTTCTAGAGGTGCTCAGAAAATGAAGTAAGTATGAATCTTTTCAAAACAACATATACTTAGACCCAAAGTTTAAAGTCAAGATACATTTAAAATATTATGTTGGTTTAGCTTAGCAGTCCCCAGAATCAAATATCTCTCTGTACTTAGCTCATTCACAGTAAAAAAAAAAAAAAGAAACCACAATAATATACACATCCAGACTCTCTGTGTATAGCCCATATTTATGTGGTTTATTTTTCTTACTCTATTACTTTTTTACAATTTTAATATTTATTTTATTATCTTTACTCCTTTAATCTATGACTATCTGTACACTTTTATATTATAACTGTCTATGCTCTTTTTCTTCTCTCTCTTAAGCCTATGTTCATTTATCCAACACTGTGACCCATTTAGAGGTCTTTTTCATCTGAATCTATCTTTGTTGAATATGTATCTATAATTATTTTTTTGACCAGGAGAGCCTTTTCTTTTAAATGCTTAGCAGGTATGGCTAGAACTAACTCTGTGGCCCTACCTGTTGGCTCTGCCCAGTTCAACATGGCAGAGGTATGTTTACTGCCAGCTCTGCAAGCCATTCTCTCTGTCCCAGCTCCAGGAACACAGCAGGTCAATGTTTCCATTAAGTAATTTGTAACACACTGCTCACAGATCTCATTTAATGCTCAGCCTTCTGAAAGAGCCAGAGCTGTTCATGCAACTAACATGAACCAGGAAGCTGCCTTCTAGAAAGTATGGGAGTTTTTGCTCCTATTGCTGAATCAGGAAAACCTCTTTTAAAGGAGCTGCAGGTCCCCTGATCACTGTCAGCAAACAGAGCCCATCTGAAAAAAAATGTGGCTACCAAGAAACTGTGCTAAACTTTGTCTATTTTGTGTGTATGTGTGTGTGTTTGTGCGCGCACACACTCTCAGGTTTTATGTGGATGTAGTCAGCCCACGTTGGCATGCCAATTTATAGGCAGAGCCTGCTTGTTTGTTTCCCGGCCTCTCAGACCCAAAATAATCACACAGAAACTATATTAATTAAAACAGTGCTTGGCTTATTATCTTAGGCTTCTTATTGGCTAGCTCTTACATCTTAAATTAACCCATTTCTATTAATCTGTGTATTGACATGAGGCTGTGGTTTACTGGGTAAAGTTCCAGTGTCTGTCTCTTTCAGCAGTTACATGGTGTCTCTCTGACTCTGCCTTCTTTCCTCCTTTATCTTCTTGGAATTCCCACCTTACTCTATTCTGCCCTGACATAGGCCCAAAGCATGCTTCTTTATTAACCTATGGTAATAAGTCATAGTCACAGCATACAGAAGGGAATCCCACATCACACCACCATGTACCATGTATGGGGTCCTGGACATTGAACCCAGGGCTTCATGCATGCTATGCAAATGCTGTACCAACTGAACTGTATCTCTAGCTCTGTGTTGTTACTACTTAGAAAGCTAGCAATCACCTCTTCTAAAATTTAGTCTCAGATTGGAGGTGTTTGTTACATTTTTTACCCTTGTTGTATTGTCTGCTACTCAGCTACTCAGAGGTTTGAGACAGTAGTGCATGCCATCTTAGGTGAACCAGGCAGGTTACAGCAGAGTCTTTAAGGGCATTTCTCACACTTTTATGGATGAAGCAATGTTCACGGTTTCATTTGTATCACTGCCAAATTCTTTCTGCATGCTTATACAAATATATGCTGAATATAAGAATTGAAAACTTATGTGCATGATTATGTACCTGTTAGGCATGCATGCCTCCAACATTCCAAAACTCGGGTTCTGTAGACTGTGCTCTATCCACTGAACTATATCATAGCAATTGTGCAATTTTCCTTCTCACTCAAAGTTATATCTCAGTTTTCCACTGATCTAACATATAGGTCTACTTAATGTCTAAATAGTACTTTACATTTAACATTTTCCTTCTTGAAAATTACATACATTAAATATAAAGGTTGCAATCAATTAAAAAGAAAGTTTCTAGTTTCTTAAAGAGCTATATATATATATTTTTGGAATGTGTAGAGTGACCAGTAAAATTATTTCCAAATATATGTTTACCAAGTTGGTAACAGAGACTTCAAATCAAATATCTACTCGTTTTCCTCTTTTAAAATGTGAATACAAATGATTCACTTTTTATAGCAAACATTTTGATGCCTTGGAGAGCACTGTTAATAATACGAGGGCACATGTAACACTTAAACCTTGGCTATTTTTTATATTTCTATAGAAAGTGTTATTGCAGTCTAGATTCATAGCAGTGTTAGAAATTGTCAGCTCATTAAACATTTTTACAAAGCTAGTCATGGATGGGGCTGAGGTAATACCCCTGTGTTTCTAGCTTTTCAGCTCAGCCAATCTACAGGCTACTCTTCGTAAACCCTTCCTACACACCTGTCTCACGCCACTCACACCACAGCAACGCCTTTCTGTGCTCCCCTCAGGCTGCCTGACTTGTGACTCTTGTTTTGGAGTGCACTGTGAGTGCCTGAGTTTTGATACTGTGGGCATTTTCACTTGTCATAGGATCAACTTGGAACTCAAGTTATTTTCTGTCTTTACTTCTGGCAAGGAGAAGGATGAAGTCATTGAGATGGCAGTACCTATGAGGTTGTGGGTAGCTGCCAACCAGTGTGGGTGAGGGCTAGACACTGGGATGGGAGAAGGCAGTGCTGTACTGACTTGTGCTGGCTCATGGAAGCTGACTTACAGTTTAGGAATATTGTGAGCTGGTTATAGATAAAGCCATCAGTAAAATTCAGTGACACAGACTGACAGGGAAATGAATCGCATTAAAAACAACAGTCTTATAATCCCCACACTTCTTTGTTTGTCTGTTTTGATACAGCCTTTGCCTATCTCTGTATCAGGGCATCCTTGAGATGCTCAGTAATGAGGAAAGGGAGCAGAGCCATGGATCCTCTGCAGTCAGATACCATCCGCAGCATGGGAAGCAGCAGAAGCAGAGGTGGGGCTTAGGGTTAGCAGAGGTGAGGGGGCAGCTGAAGCTGACTGAGCAACAGGCTGGAGGGCAGAAGATACAGGAGACAAGCCCTTTCAAAACAAGGTTTTTCCCGATTAGAGTCCTATGGAAATAGCTCTACTGATTGGGGTGCTAGCCAATCCCTTTACTGTGGAAGAATTAGTGTGTAGGCAGTGGCCACCTTGGGTGTCATTGTAGCTGCTACCTCTTCCCCTCCTCTGTCTTCTCTGAGAGCTACTGTGGCCTGGGTGGGACTTTGAGACACCCTCATCTCCCAAGGATATTTTAGTAGGAGAACAAAGCCTTGTAGACTAAAATCTGGATGAAGACCTCCGAAAACAAACAAAAACAAAACCCCACGAATTTGTATAGAGGAAATAGTCTACAGTGGTGGTTTTTTAGATGTCTTAGTTACTGTTCTATTATTGTGAGGAGACACTATGACCAAGACAACTCTTAAAAAAGGCAGCATTTGCCTGGGGGGCTTGCTTTCAGTGTAGACTGTTAGTCCATGATCATCCCGTCAGGAGGCAGACAGGTGCTGGAGCATTAGCTAAGAGCTTTCCATCCTGACCTCCAGGTTTCAGAAAGAGACAGAGAAATTGAGTCTCACATGGGCTCTTGAAACCTCCAAGCTCACTCCAGTGACATACCTGCTCTAACAAAGTCACACTTCTCAATTCTTTAAAAGCAGTTCTACTGAACATTCAAACCTATACGCCTTTGGGGGGCATTCCCATTCAAATCTACACTAAGTAAATCTCTACACTGGGCCAATCTCATTAATATTCTGATTTTCAAATGCATCGTTAGTACCGACCCAGGGTGGTGTGTGTCTGTTCCAAGCATATTCACAAGAGTAATACTTTGAAAACTAATGGTTCATGTCAACCATGGCATGTTCACACTAGAGTTAAAGGCAGGTGTAGGCTTAGGAGTGTGAGAGTCGGTGAGATGGAGCAGCGGGTTGAAGGGCTTGGTGTGCAAGCCTGACAACTTGAGTGCCACCCCATGTATACATATGGTACTACATACAGATACAATGGTAAGCTTCTGTTACCAAGAAATCTCCCAGAAGATGAGAGATCAAGACCAGAGAATTGGTCAGAAGCTTGTAGACCAGCTCCTATAGAGAATGCAGTGTGGCTGAAATAAGAGAGACTCCAACACAGCAATGCAGGTGGTCAAAACTGACCACTGGAAGAAATTCTCTGACTTATACATGTGTGCCATGACACCCATCTACATACCCACCATAGTTACATTCCATAAACTACACATACACCGATAATAAGTAAAATTAAATAATTGTAAGCATTTCTAAAATAAGAATTAGCACAAATATTCAGTCTGATAAAATCTCCATGCAGACCAAGCTTGGGTATTTATGGACTGTCTATGGTGAAGAGCATTTGAGTTCACTAGAGGAAGGAATGAGCTGTCTGGCTTCACACTGGTTCTTGTCGTCTCCCATCTGTCAACTGCATTTTCATCAACTGTGGTAGCAATAGGCTGTCGTCTCACTGCTGAACAATTGACCATGACATCTTTATGGTGCCAGCTGCATTCCTCTGCCTGGGCTCAAGTTCAGCTATGGCCAAAGTGATTTAGCAGGGAGTGCCCATAGGGAAACTCAAATTCTCACTTTCCCTTTCCACCCACCACCCAAGCCACCCAGTATCTAAGAAGTGGGTCGAAAGGATGTTACTGTCTACAGCGTTTTAAAAGTTGTGTTTCTGAACTTCTTTTTCCTCATCAGAAAAATGGGGTTGTCCCTTGAAATTCCTTCATCCAGGGAGGTTTTGTGTTGTGACTAGTGGACAAGTGAAAACAGAAAGACAGAACCTCAGATGGATCATAGCTATGGAGGATGGTCTTCATTTTGCTGATGTGGTCTTCCTCCGCATGGGTGATGTGAGGGGGTTATGGGCAGCCAACTGTGCTTACTTTTCCTTGTGTTGTGCAAATGTGTTTTATTAGCTGCTGCCCAGAGGCTACAAGCCTACACTGCCTTGCATCTTCTCTACATCTTTCTTGAGCACTTATATCTTGAGGGGAACAGCTCCTGTTGAATGAAAAGAATTTTCATGATGTTCAACCTGAAGTTCCTAAGATTTTCACATGAAGCAGGGGCCTTATTATGTGTCAACAGTGGTACTCTTTGTTGAGTAACAGGTTTGTTGTTCTTGTTTCAGGCAATATCTGTTGAACCAGTGGGTAGACATTGCGGCCTGAGATTAGGGATGAGCGGAATAAAGCTCTTGTAACAATGATGTGACAAATGTTGTGTTTGGTACTCTGACCATCATCATTGTATTGTAATGCATCTTCTTCCCTCTCCCTCTTTTACAGGGCTTCTTCATCCTCATGTTTGGAACAATCCTGGATCCAAAGGTATTGTGTGTGAGCCATCCTTGGTTTTCCTGGGTTGCGTACTTGACCTGAAATCTGCTGACTTGTGAAGAACACTTATTGAACTTTGACCTCAGGCATCTCTGTGCAGCCCCCTGAAACAGAGCATCATTTAAAAAATGTTCTGAGATTTTATTTATGTATATGAGTGTTTGCCTGAAATGATGTCTGTGCACCAAGTGTTGTAGTGTCTGCAGAGCCCAGAAGGTGTTCGATCCCCTGGAACTAGAGTTACAGAAGGTTGTGAATTGTTACATAAGTGCTGGGAATTGAATCCTGGTCCTCTTAAGAGCAGCCAGTGCTCTTAATCCCTGAGACATCCCTCCAGCCCCATCAGGGTTCTTTTAATGCAGGTGATTCTTATCATCGTCCTTCAAGCTCTTCTGAGGAGCACATTTCCTTACAGTAGCTCTAAACCTCAAAACAATCGAGGGGTTTCTATTCTCTCTTTGAGATGAGAAAAGAGAGACACAGGGTGAAGAAACAGTTTCCTCAAGGTCCTGCTTTGATTTCTAATGGCAGAAATGGAATTTTTAGTTAAATCTCACAGTCTTATTTTGGGAGGATATCTCTCGGATTGGAAGGACGTGTGCCAGAAATACAGGACTGCTCAACGAGGGATGCCAAGCAGTTCAGTTCGAGCACTCACTTGGTGGCTCACACATCACTCCAGTTCCAGGGCATCTGATGCCTCCTTCTGGCCTCTGGGGGCAGTGCACACACACGGTGCAGATCCATTCACACAGGCAAATGAGCCACAACTACAAAGTAAAAAGTTAAGGGAAAAATGAGCAACACCAGAACAAAATTGGAAGCAAAATACCCGTGTCCACTTTAGGGTATCAAGCTTTTAAAGTATTGATGTTATTGAAGTTACCATCAAAGATATGTGAATAGAATTTTTTTTTTTAAAAAAAAATTCCTCTCATTGCCTTACCAACATGCTGCATCACTCTGGAAGTCACTCAGCAGTGACACAGACTTATCCTTGGAATTTATATATGTAGATGGCCTCAGGCTTACAACGTTCCAACTCATAAGCCTTTGAGTTTATCATTGTGCAAAACGGTACTGACTCAGAGGAGACACCACTTGAACCGAGCTCCCTTCCTGGGCTAATGTCATGTAGCACATACACTCTCACCAGACTGGCAGTGGCAGCAAGCCACAGCTCTGAGGCAGCAATGAGCTTACTATGGGAAACAGTCAACACTCTACAGTGTCACAAAGCTGTGGTGTTCAGTAGACAGGTACACCAAGTGCAGTTCTGACTTAAGATATTCTAAGCTTACAACGGGCTTGTTTTGAGGCAACCCTCCCCCACCTTCACAAGGAATGTCTCAATACTAGTCTTGCTCCACAGTGCTTGTGAGTCCCAGATTTAAACGAGAAAGTGTAAAGCAACTTTATAGGTGCAAAGACACAGGAAGCATTTACAGTACCCCACAGTCAGAGTTGCTGGGGTTGTGTGTCTACTGACCTGATGCCATAACTAATACACAGAGTCAAATAATGGCAGCAACCTTTCTCTGTGTGTCAGAGTTAGGTGCAAAGAATTACAAGCTATGCAGTCTCTGTTAAGATCAGAATCTCTTCTTTAAAATTGAAATGTAAAAGACATATACAGGAAGTGTCATAGGGCCCGACATGACTAAGGGATGCAAAGGGATGTGCATGAGGAGTCCTGGAAACCCCACCAGCAGTTGAAAACTGAGCGTATTTTTCAAAGTGCACTTACTACTAATGTGCACAGCATGCAATTATATGAAGCGAATATTGTGCAATTATGAAATACAAAATTTTAAAAAGGGTCAGAGTAGAAATGCCAAAAGACGTTCCAAAATGGCCTCCAAGATCCCCCTGGATGCCAGGAGCCCCTCCCTCCCTTACAAACTTGCAGCAAAGAGTTTACATCTTCACAGGGAGCGATGAAGTCTCCCTGAGCTTGGGGGGCTTTCCAGGGCTTTAGTGTGGAGACAATGTATGTAGGGCCTCAGAAAGCAGCATTTTCCATGGCAGAAGGGAGAAAGGAAGGGAAAAGGAAAGGGTTGGGGAGGGAGGCAGGAAGGTTTACAGTGGATGGACATGAATCCCAGACTGGATCTGGATCTGTGCAGCTGGCTCAGTTTGATCTTGGAGTTTCAGCTTCCTCAGCAGTATAGTGGGGACAACAGTATCTATGTCTGAGGATTATCTCCTTCCTAAAATGGGATGGCAGACAGGAGAAACACCGTAAAGTTATAAAGTTGTCACTATTGTTATGATTTCCTGAGTCTGGACCCACTGATGACCTTGTGTGGTACTTTTTCCCCTCCTTTATAGAAGTTTTGAATAATTCCAAATGAGATGCAATTTGGGATGTGATGAACCACTTTAATGGTTCAAAAAATAATGTCAAAGCTGTAATTAGCATCCCTGAGCTTGCGCAAACTTGCCTCATAGCCACTGAGTTCATGTTTAAGACCAGGGACCCATGCCTGCCAGAGAAGCTTTCTCTCTCTGCCCCTCCTCGTCTCCTGGATTTTCTCTAGCTCACTCCACTTGTTACTGACCCACCAAAAGGACCCAGCTAGCCACTTGTGTCCTTGTCACAGTGTTAGTCACATCCAAGCACACAGCTAACTTCTTATAAACGTTCAATTGCTAACCCGTTTTGTTAAATTTCCAGATAAGAGAAGCCTTAAAGAGTCGAGTAATGTCTGCCAAATGGGCCTCCAGAGCATCAGAGGTAAGCACTTTGTGTTTTCATTTGGCAAGGGAATGGTGTAAACCCTTCGGTGGCGAGTTTTTCTGGGTGGGTCCCTCTTGGAGCTGTTCAGAATTTTTATGGAGTATGATGTCTGAATATGAAGGCGAAAGTCAGTTTAGATCTATAAAGAGGGGTGACAAGGTGGCAGGTGCTGTAGGTGTGAAACAGGAAGCAGGTCACTACAAGGAGCAATGAAAGGAGATGAAGGGTTTCAGTCTCCCACGACAGCCTGCTGGTTCTCTCTGATACTGCTCAGGTGGTCACGGGCAACATGTGAAAATTCTAGGGATGCACACGCTGAAACCCAATACAAAGGACTTCCCAGGAGCTTGATTAGCAAGGAAGCAGTTGCCATGGTTACCAGAATGGCATAGGCACAGGGCCAGTTCAGGGATGTGGATGTGGCGGAGGTGCTCCAGGCATTGTTGGGGGACTGGACTGTGATATGCCTTTACCTTACCCTCTCTTTCTATAATTAATTTATAAACTTCATTGTGATGCCAGGCTGTTTGGGGTGAGGGAAGAACTGGCAATGTTTTGCATGTTAGCAAAAGGGACTCAGGCTTGACCTCAGCAACACGCCAACAACAGAAGGGCATCTGTGGCTTTGATTTGTCACCTGCCATTCTCTCTCTCTGTCTCTCTCTCTGTCTCTCTCTCTCTGTCTCTCTCTCTCCTCTTTTTCTTTAATTTTAGCCAAACTTTGTTCAACTTCTTAGTCCTTCCTGGGAGATTACTGATTTCTTTATGCTCTCTCCCATCTAAAAAAGGGGGCAAACTTACTGAGAGCAGACATGTCCTCCAACAAGGCTGCACCCCCTAATCCTGTCAAAGAGTGCCACTCCCCGGTGACCAAGTATTCAAACCTATGAGCTTATAGGGGCCATTCTCATTCAAACCACCAAAGGCTCTCTTCTCGAACTTGGCCTGATTATTTCAAATCCCTTCTAAAATAGTAGCCTTGGTTCTTTCCTCATGTGTTTTTAGAACGATCTGTTCAGGCCACCATAGGGATATTCTGGCCATTGAGGCCTAAGACAAACAGTCATTTTCTCTATCTCTCTGGTTTTTATGTAAGTCAGAAAGACACCTAGCCCTTTATTATTGTTGATGGTCCAAGTCAGTGGTTTTTGATGTTGGCCGTATCTAAGAAATATCTTGGGAGCTTAAAAATCAAAAGCAAACAAAAAAATAAATAAAGAACCTACACCAAACCACAACCCAGGCCTCACTCAAAAATTAAAGCAGAAACTCTCAAGGCTTGAGCCTACGCATTTACTTTAAGCTCTGCAGTGATTCTAGTGTGCGGCCAGGGTTAAAAGCCTCTGGTCTAAGTACAACATATATTTACCTTTCATCTTGCATTTCTTCCTTCATTCTGCTCGGCAGCTCTAGGCCATTGCCTGTCATTAGCTTTACCACCCTTGCCCAAGTACAGAAGCAGGGCTACCCATCCATTTAGCTGTTCTGCTTTGAAGACCACTAATCCTTGGTAGCAATCTTCTACAGTCCAGATTTATGTCACCCTTTAAGTCACCTACCTGGACAGGACCAGTCCCAGTTCCCCAACACCTAAGACACCATGTGTTCTTGTGTTCATATTGTAGCTGACAAGATGAACTAGCCTACGCTCATGTAGCCACCTATCTGCCAATGTTTAAATGTCTTGCTTTTTTAGACCACATACGTCTAAAACATACACAAAAGGTATAGGGGAACGTTAATGTTGAGGATCTCAGTAGAAAAGCTGTTAAGAAACTGAGGCAGGACACCAGGTTCCTTTCCTCTCCCCCTCTCTATCCCTTCTCCTCTTCCTCCCCCTTTTCTCTCTTCTCCTCTACCCTCCTTTCCCTTCCTCCTCTCTTTTTTCTCCTTTCCTCCTCCTGCTCCTCCTCCTCTTTCTTCTCCTCTTTAGGAATTCTCTTGGTGCCAGTTATGGTGGAGCGGGACTCCTTGGACAAGCCTGTTGCTAGGTTGTTAGTTTTAATATGAAGAGGAAAGGGAGGAGGTGATATGAAAGGGTAAAATATTTTCCCATGCCTCGGGTTCTCTGTGTGCCCAGAATCACCGTGATAAGTGCAGACTGACTGGTACCGATAAATGCAACATTTTGTCTTCGACAGGATCTTTCTTCTGAATTCTCTTGTAATCCCACCAAAGGGCCAAGCTAACAGAGCAGCATGCATCCCTACCATGGGAGGTGAGTATACAGCAAGAGAGCCTAGTCTCTAAGCATGCTTCGTGTTTATGGCATTTCTTTGATTATAATTAGAAATAAATTCTCTTGATTCCTGTCTTGGCAAGGCACATTTTTAAATTCTTAGGTTACTGACTTTTCGTCCCAGGAGACAACAAAGCATATCTGCGAAGGCTCCTGACCTGGCCTGGATGTGCTTTAAGGGGTTGAGTAGGGATCGCCTCTCTTCCTGGCTCTCTCTTCTCCATGTCTTGTTTTCCGCTCCTAGGGCATCTTGCATCATCAATATACTGTGGTCCTTTTTCTTTCTTTCTTTCTTTTTTTAGTGTTAAAAGGTCAAGAAATTATGACTGACAATATGGGGGAGACTCCTCAGGGTAGTGATGTAGTCGCTGGACAGTCATAGGGAGCTAGAGTTAGAGAAAGGAGCCACAGGAGGAATTAATTCAGGGCCACAGAGAGGGACACGGTAACTCAGGTTTGGAGGACGGCCAACTAGCTGCAGACGTGTACAGGCTCCAGAACAACAGTGTAGAAGACGGAGACAAACACACAAGCATACTGGAGCACATATAAATGTACTGAAGTACTCACAGAGATGGGAAGTGTCCACAGAGAGATTGAGGGGTATATAGGGAACTCAGAGAAATGCAGACTGACTCAGAGAGGGTGATAGACACACAGACCACGACTCACAGAGTGCAGAGAAACAGGGAGACACAGAGAGAGGCACTGTGGTATGAAAAGAAAGTCGCCCATCCCCTACTCCAACACATCCAGGCTCCAGCAGCCTTCATGGCCTTGACAGTGGTCCAAGGCCTTGTAGAAAGAAATAGTACTGCTGAGAGGAGTTATAGTTCAAAGGACATGGGTTCAGTTGCGTGTAACACGTGCCTCTGTAATCCCAGCACCTGGGAGGTAGAGGCAGGAGGATCACCACTATGACATCATCCTCAATTACATAAAAGGTTTGAGGCTGTTCTGTGCTACCTGAGATCTTGTCTCACCCTATTTCCAAAATGAGGTGGTTCATGTTACAGAAAGGCCAGGCTTACAACTCAGCACCTGCAGGGAATAGAGGAGGACAATTTCCTGCGTCCCAAAGAGCCTTATAGGAAGAGATTGTCCATCGGGCAGCTGGTCACTGTGCAAAGCATTCACATCTTGCAACTTGTATGTTTAAGCTGTGATTTTCTCTTCTTGACAAGGTTGCTCATTCCTGGAATGGCAGTGCCTGAGGAAGCATGCACTTCATTCCTGTCCTCTTGCCACTGAGTACTTCGACTGAAGCCTCTACCCTGCAGAGCTGATGGAGGAGGGGGTGACATGTGGAAGGCCCCTCTGTCAAAGCTGTTCTGTGCTTCTAAACATGTCTTGCCCACCAACTGCAAATCTACATACGACACACTAAGCATCCACAAGGGACAAGAAGACAAAGTGGGTATCAACAACAGTGTCTCACTGGTGCCTCCACCTCCACACTGCTGGGTCATATTTATCGTCAGGGAGAAAGCTCGGCTTTTCTCAGCAAAGGTGGCCTAGGATGCAATGTGTTGGATTCTAAAGGAGAGTTCTCAAGAATAGTCTCCAACAGTCGGACTGACTCTAAGTAGCTCCCAGCTGGTTCTGTGGAGAAGGACGCCTACTGCCAGTATGTTCTACTTTTCCAAAATCAAACCGATTAGATGGTCAAGTATGGCTGGGGTCTGAATGCAACTTCTTGGATGGTGAACCAAGAGAAAACTGTAGAGTGTTGGAATTGGACATGATGTCTGTTTTAAGATGCGGTGGAAAACTGGAGCTGTGAGTCACGGCTCTGCTAACCTGGGCCAACTCTGTTGGCTTCCAGGGCTTCACTTTGTAGGCAGAAGTTTCTGTCACATCTGGTTCTGTGGCCATTTAGTCCCAAATAAACACGCAGAGGCTTATATAATCTATAAATTGTTTGGCCTATTAGATTAGGATTATTATTAACTAGCTCTTACAACTTAAATCAACCCATAATTCTTAACGATGTTTAGCCATGTGGCTTGGTACCTTTTCTCAGTAAGGCATTCTCATCTTGCTTCCTCTGTGCCTGGCTTGTGACTGCATCTCTCCTTTCCTCTTAAGAGAATTCTCCTACTCTGGTTGCCCTACTTATACTTCCTGCCTGGCTACTGGGCAATCAGCAATTTATTAAATCAATATGAGTGACAAATCTTTAGAGTATACAAAAATATTGTCCCACAGTATTCCTCCTTTTTCTCTTTTCAAAACAAGACTCTGAATCTAATCTCCTTTGTTTAGCTTTTTTCCCCCTGATCATTATCCATAACAACTTGTAACCAACACTCTAAACAAAGACAAACATCAACAATCCATTTATTGGGAATGTGGGCATACTTTTCTAGGCTACTTCTGGCTAACTGAGAGTGCTGATAATCTTATATGGACCCAAAGAAAATTTAAGATTATGGTCAAGTCCTGACTGGAGCATTCTGGAGTATTCTGTGAGACTGGATCATCTCAACTAGCAGTCTTGAGATTGTTCTGGATGTAGAACTCAGAGAGAACTGCAACAGAGGTGCTCTGAAACATTGGATTATCTGGGCCATCTGTTCCTATTGGAGATTTTTCAGGGGATCTTCCTTGATCAAACCTTATTTTTCTTTTTTCTTTCTTTCTTTTTTTTTGGGGGGGGGGAGGGGGTTTCGAGACAGGGTTTCTCTGTGGTTTTGGAGCCTGTCCTGGAACTAGCTCTTGTAGACCAGGCTGGTTTCGAACTCACAGAGATCCGCCTGCTTCTGCCTTCCAAGTGCTGGGATTAAAGGCATGTGCCACCACTGCCCGGCCCAAAGATATTTATTTATTTATTATGTATACAATATTCTGTCTGTGTGTATGTCTTCAGGCCAGAAGAGGGCACCAGAACTCATTACAGATGGTTGTGAGCCATCATGTGGTTGCTGGGAACTGAACTCAGGACCTTTGGAAGAGCAGGCAATGCTCTTAACCACTGAGCCATCACTCCAGCCCAAACCTTATTTTTCTTAATCCAGAATGAATCTATAGCCTCTCATTTCCTGTGGAAACAAAAGCAAGATCTTTTCTCCAAAGTAACATTATCTTTTAACTTAAATTTTAGCTCAATCGGTAGAGCATGAGACTCTTAATCTCAGGGTTGTGGGTTCAAACCTCACATTGAGTGCGAAGTGTAACACAAATTAAAAAAAAAAAAACAACCCAGAGTCAGATATTGGGGTTCAACCTGAAGATCAGAAAAGCAAAGCAGCTAAGAAATACTCAGACTGAAAAAGCGATCCTGCCTCCACGCATCCTCAGAATGAGACTGATGGGGACATATCTCCTCGTGTCTTGTATTCCTCTTTAGTGCTGGGATTAAAGGCATGCACCACTACTGTCCCACTTCTCTGGTGAAGTAGTGTGGCTACTGGGACTGAAAGTGTGTTTCACCACTGCCTTGTCTGTAAGCCTGACCAGTGGGGCTGTTTTATTTTCTGATCTTCAGGCAAGCTTTATTTGTTAAAATACAAATGAAATATCAATAAACTACTTTCTGTCCCAGAGCATGGGGCCTCTGAGGGGCTTTTTGTTTCCACCTTCAGACACGAGAGGCTGCTGAAACCTGGATGCGGGGAGAGGAAATATCATATGTCAAGCCCTGTGATGCTCATTTTCCTAGCTGCATGTAAACACATTCAATATTCAAAGCAGATGTCACCTAGACGTCTAGGTGTAAAACACCTAGGCTAGAAGGCCTCTCTGAAGCAAGCCCACAGGTGGCTGTCCCAGAAGAAAAGCAAAGGTTGAAGAAAGAGGGACCCAGACAGATGCCCACATTGTCCTATGTAGAGGCCAGTATTATTGATGTTCTGTTACAGATGGGAGGCTGGGCATGGTGGGTACTCCTGGAATTCCAGCACCTGGGAGGCAGAGACATAGAGAGATGCTCGGAGTTCATTTTGGTTTACATGGTGAATTCTAGGTGAACTAAAGCTAAAGAGTAAGATCTCGTCTGATAAAATAAATACCCCACACAAAATAAAAACAGAACAACAAACAAAACTACAAAAAAAAAAAAAAACAACAGCAAAAACCCAACTAAACCCAAACAAAACACACATGGGAAAGCAAGGCTCACTCTGTGGGGGAGTAGCTCTCCTCCTTTCCATGAATCAGAGGTGGTCTAGTCAGCTACTCTCCAGCATATCCCTGGATCTCTTTAGATAAAGAAGATGGGGAGACATAGGGCTGGGTTCTCCTCAGTGCAGGTACCACAGCATCATGAACTAACTTGCTCAAGGTCAATGTAGTGAAGTCAAGATGAAGTCTCATGTAACTAGACAGGTGGAAGAACGCTAAAGTGCACAAAACTTGGAAAAGACCAAGTATTGTCCATGTCAAGATGAGAACTCCGAGCCCTGGGGGCGAGGGAGGGAAGCATGTCTTGTTGGTATTACACATGGAGCAGGTGCATCTGACTGGGAAGCACTCAGTTCAGGTGCAGACACTCTGCGACAGAGCGGTGATATCACTAACCAAGAAAGGCCAGTGGATGCTAACAGAACCACTCCGGCATTCCTGGGGAATTTCCTCAAGAACGTGCCCTCTCTCCTGTAGCCATAAATACACACTTCAGCATCTTGAGAGATGTCAAGGGACTACCCCGACCCTCAACAGAGACACCTGTAGTACGCTTCTCCATCTCGCAAAGACGTGGTGTGGTCAGGTGGTTCAAGGAGACATTGCTCTGAAGCAGTTTTGTGGCCCTCCTTGGAAAGTCACTTAAATCCTTTAGAATTTTGTCTTCTCATTTCTAAGTGAGGCTACCTCCTAGGACTAGTGTAATGATTCTAAATAGTAAAGTATTTATACTAGTGTTTGGAAATAATAATTGCTCATTAAAATGTTAATTTTATTACAGTGCCTGTGAATACATGCACATGCATATAAATACACACACACACACATAAACACAACCATGGCCTCTGGCATGATTGTGAATGAAGATAACCCTCATGGGAGCAAGTTAATTGACTTCTAAATAAAACAATGAAGCACTTGACTTTTTTCTGTGTAACATTAGGGTTACGAGCCAGCAAAACCCACTGAGGCTCATGGAACGAGTCTGTTACCTAGTGCTGCCTTACCCTAATGCATAGTTCCACTCCTGAGGAACAAGTTTGTCTACTGTGGGACTCTACTCATTCTGTGGTGTTTCCAAGCCTGGCTTTCCTTTCTGCCTTCTCTGAGGGGTCTTCCCTGACTGGTACCCCCCACATACTTTCCTATAATATTTATATCTGCGATGTTCACTGTTCATTAGCAGTTTCTGTGCTAGAGAGTTTGTTTGGTTTGGTCTTTTTTCTCTCTGCTTTCTTTCCCAGATAAGGCTGCGAATCTTTAGGAAGAGGCTGACATATTTGATAACCACTTTGTAACTTTCCTCTGCGTGCTGCTAGGGCAACCGAGTGTCTTAGGCACAGAGTATGTTCAGTAAATATGCATGTTCAATAAAGTCCTTTGATAACACAGCCACTTGAGACGGTGTTTCTCTTTTCCGCGTCACAAACGACCCAGTACTTAACGAGTGACCTACTTAGAGCTGACCCAGTTCTACCAACGTTGCTTCCTTGACCTGCGCTGCTATAAGTTGTGGAACCCAACGGCCCCTCACTTATCTCTCTTTTATGTTATGCTCTTCTGACTTCTAAGCGGGGGATTGCAGCACCTGGGGAAAGAAAGGTTATACACAGGAGACATCAGCATTAGCATATGTGGGGCTCTGCTGCTGAGGCCACTGATCCAGACTGGTTGGTCAGCTGGAAGCTGGGTCAGGAGAAGCTTTCTGCACGTGGAGACTACCTTCTGGCACGGCATTACCGATGAGAGTGGATATCCACAAAAGAACTTCTCATCCTATTCCTTACAAAGAAAAGACCAAGGAGGTAGGGCCGGCAAGACAGTTCGGTGGGGAAAGGCAAAATGCCACCAAGCCTGACGACCTGAGTTTGATTCCTGGGCCTCATGATTCCTGAAAGTTGTTCTTGACTTTGACATGTGCCATGGCAACCATGCACACACACACACACACACACACACACACACACACACACAATTAGTGAAATAAAAAAGAAAGAAAGAAAGAACCATAAATCATAAATCTTTCTGGCGCCAAGGTAGAGACTAGCTTATAATTTCCTGGTCACTTTCTCGGTCAGTTTATCTCCAAATTCATAGGTAGAGTTAAAATACAATAATAGTCTTTTGAAACCATAAACAATAGTGGTACAACCTCGCATGTTGTCACCCTGGTTTTAATTACAACAAGGACGATGCAACCCAGACTCCCATGTGATCATCTGAGATAAAGAACTGAAGGACAAACAAGTGACTCACTTCAATGGATTCGCTTCAGACAAGAGAAACCTGTAATTTCTCCTAGGCGTGCTTGACAGATTCACTGTGGGGGTGAATCACAGCCTCACACAAGCCTCGAGGTTGTGGGCTGGCTTGCAGTGACCAGATTGGCTTCTCACTACCGGCAGTTGCTTCTCACTTGGGCCTCCGGGACTACCTTTTCAAAAGATGAGATGGGTCCCTGTCACTGACGGATGCTGGAGTCGTCAGTCTGGTGTGGACATGTGATGGTCGGGCACCATGGTGGGCAGTGCAGTGCTGACTTCCCTACCAGGTGACTGTCGGTCTCTGGGCTGCTAGACTTCTTCCTGGACGCGTGAGTACTGGCCTGTGCTATCACCTCTTTCCCATAAAGAGTTGGTTGTTTGCTCTATCTGTTCCAGAACAGGGGAAAATGTATCATCTGGGATGGTGTTTTCCAGAAGGCTCGGTTCCACAGTGTCCCCTCGCTAATGCTTTTGAATTTGGCCAGCTCAAAGTTATAGTGTCTGTTTCGTATTTGTTTTTCTCCGAGGAGTCATCTGTCAGCCTTGATTTGCTCATTCCTTGGAGTAAAACTGCAAAGTGTCTTGCCAATTAGACTCCTGGCCTCTGCACTGTCTCCGTGCCAGATAAATTTCAAGTCCCTTAAGGTGGAACGCAAAGCGTTAAACTTCTAGTTTCTTCTTTCCATGAACCCGACAAATTGTCTTAATAGCAATGTAAAAGAAAGCCCTACGTACTATGACTGCTGGAAACCCTTCCTACAGTGTCCCCCCTATTTTGAGTGGTCAGTGTGGGTTTCTAGAAGGCCTGTGCCCTGGACTCAGAGGGAAGCTGCAGGAGCTTTGGGCTCTCGCTTTATTGGGTGTTGTATTGCTGTCTACATGATTAGTGTTGGCACTCCGGTGAGCGTCCTTCACAGCACAGAGAAATTTCCAGCCCCAATAATGGCTCTATAATTATTTAAATAGCAGAGATAGTCCGAGAGATGAAGATGCCTTCCAACGCTGAAAATTTGTGCTTCTTGAGAGATGTCAGAATTTGGGTTTAGCTACAAAGTGGTGGATAGACGCCATCTAAAATAGCCAACAAGAGATGGGTCTGGTTTTATTTCTGGTAGTTCTCTTTCTACCAAGGCTCTGTATCTCATACATGGAGAAAGAGAACCAGTAGTTTTTTCTTTTGTCTCTTAAAGACAAGTCTGTAGATTCTGTTATTGAGGTCAAAAGATAAACGAGTCATTTAGCCATCTGATGTTATAGCGAAAGTTCTAGTTACACAACCAAGAATAGGAATATATGGTTATGGAATCAGGCTGAGGGGAGCAACACACATGCATGTTTATGTGCACGCACACCACACACACACACACACACACACACACACACACACACACACACATACACACACACCCCTCTCACTCTCGAGTTCCTTATCCTCCAGTTAACCTTTCTGAATTGGTCATTCCCACAAGACAGTAGGATCTGTCAAGCACTATGAAGCCAGTTGCTGTCTACAAGGTTAACAGACAGAGAGAATGTGCCTCCCTCTCACCCTGTGCACATCGCTGGAGTAGGGAGATAACCAACAAGGCTGAGTTCACATGCCAGTCATCCTTCACCACTGTCTACTTTACACTTCTTGGACTGACCTTTTTCTTATTTTCTTTGGGATCCCGATGATCTTCGCAGGCATGTTGAGACGGGTGCGGAATGCCTCGGTGAGCGTGAGTCACCCTGCAGCTCCTAGCTCCACTAGTCAGAGACAACAGTGAGATCCAGGGCCCAGAAAGACCGGTTATCATTTTCAATTACAACTCACTCAGAAACTCAGTTGTACGTGCAAGGAAGATGGAGCAAATAGGAGGCAGTGTTCAGGAACATACAGTCCTCCCGATTTGTCTAGCGCTTTGTAATTCCTGACTTAAAATGGAGATAGCACAGAGACACATGTGCAGCCAACGCCACTGTGACCTCATCCTGCCTCCCTTCCTCCCTCCCTTCCCTTGCCTTCTCTTTTCTCCTTCTCCTCCCTTGTTTCACCCTTTTCTTCCCCCTCCCTTCTCCCTTCCAGATCTCTTCCTACATGAAACTTTATAAACATTTTTTTTTAAACCAGAGCCCAGATGGTACAACAAAATGGAGGCCTGATGAGAGGGAGAACAATTCTACAAAAGTAAGCAGGTTCCAAAATTATCAGAAATTTCCAGTGCCAGGGCCTCCTGTGTCTGTGTGCCTCATGCCTACATCTTTAATCGCAGGGAGGATCCTATGTTGAAACCAAGCACATGGGTCAGTCACTCTTATTTCCCAAATGACTCGAAGTAGCAACTACCTACACAGCATTTGAGATGGTGTAACATGCAGGAGACCGTTTGTGCAAATGCCTGGCCATTTTTCTGGCAAAGACCAATATGTAGGGATTTTGGTGTCTGAAGGAGTCTCCCAAGGGGCACCTGCCTGCTCACCCACGCGCTTCTTGAGGACAGAAGCGTTTCCTCAGGATCTTAGAGCCAAACCTTCAGATGCTGGGCTAGGATCTTCATTTGCACATTCAATCTGCAGGGTCATTTGCTCCCTCTTTCATATATTCAGCAAGGGTTTCCCACTCTGAGTGGATGCTGAGTTGGCCGAGGACAGAGAAAGGGGAGATGTCCACCTCTTGACTAACAGGATTGTCTTTTATCATTAGTTGAGGCCTGCTTTCTCTCAGCTTCTCTTGACCCACTGTGATCAGAACTCTTCTGCAGGGGTGTGTGAAATGTTCAGGACAGTAACTAGGTTGGGAGGGGTAGTTACTTAGATACCCCACTCCGGGCCGGCTAGTGGATTTAGTTGTATTTTCCCCTTAAGCCTTTGAGGCCAGCCCATGTGATTTTCTCTCTGTAATCACCAGGTTACACCAGGGAGCCTGGCTGTATTTGGCAGCATAGAATTGCTGTTTATTATTGTGTGAGAAGGGAAAGTGGATGGCGGAGGGTAATTCACGCTTTTATCAGGGTGTAGGAGAGGCAAGCTGCTCCGGGGAAAGGAGAGACCTGGACTGTGCTTCAATTACTTTTATAGGACCCGAGAAACTGCCATGCTAGGTGGCTTGGCTGCTTTTATCACTAAAATTAGTACCTTGTTCTGTTCTCTCTGTGAATAAGGTGTGGGTCTGCCCTCGCTGGTGGGCTGGTAGAGAAACCAGAGAGAGGTTCTTCGCGAATGACAAGTGACTCGCTATTGACGTCATTGCTGCCGATGACCTCAAACTAAAGGTCTTTGGTGTTTTGTTTATTCCTCAATGTTCATTTCTGATTCTGCCCTTCCTTCTTGTGTTTTTCCAGAGCTTTGGCATGAGACACCCAAGTGCCTCCTGTGAACAAACCAACATAGGGACGGGCATTGGCAAGATGCTCAACTAATACACCCTGGGTCCGAACCCAGATATCGCAGCGTGTTTTTCTCTAAGATAGCATGCTTCTCACGTGATAGCAATTTTCTATTCCTCAAGGCATTTTAAATGATTTATCTTTGTTTCTAATTATGTGTATGCCTGTATGTGACTGTGTATAAGTGAGTGCAGGTGTCCACAGAGCCAGGTTTCTTAGAGCTGGAATTACAGCTGTGAACCATCTGGCCTGGATCCTGGGAACTGAACCGAGATTCTTTGCAAAAGCAGTAAAGGTTTCTTTTCTCTTGAACCTTGTTGGTATCCCCCTCAGGATGTTTTTTTTTAAAGAGCATGTAGAGGTGTTTTGCTTGCATGTAAGTCTGTGCACCATGTGTGTATAGTATCTGCAGAGACCAGAAGAGGGCCCCTGGGACCCGAGCTACAGGAGGTTATGAGCTGCCATGTGGATGCTGGGAATTGAACCTGAGTCTTCTGAAAGAGCAGTCAGTTCTCTTAACCTCTGATCCACCTACTCAACCTCTCCTCAGTCCCTGAGGCATTTTTTTGCATATTTTGGTAAAATCTGGATGAAACAACTGTTTCTGAAAACGATTTCACCTTGTGCACGTGTATGTGTGTACCTCTATATGTGTTGCGGGCAAGAGG